TAAAATAAATGTAAATATACAATACTTAAAAATATTATCAAAACTTAAAATTTTTTAAATTTTCGAGAAATATTTTTAAAACAAAATAAATATTTATTTTATGATTACAAAATTTTATATATATTTATCTATATTATATAAAGAATAGTAGTGATAATGATATTAAATAAAGTTACAAATAAAATGTAATAAAACTATATATTAGATTAAAAAATAGAAAATTTATATTAAATTATTAAAAATTTACTATTAGAAAGAAAGGGAAAGACTATTTGAATTTGAGATTAGAAAGTTCTTAAAGCTATGTTGAGAATGCTCAAACTATGGAGCATACCACAAAATTGAAGTCTTATTTGTGAAAAATAAAAAAATAAATACATATTTAAAAATACATAATATAGGTACTAATGAAAATTAGAAATTAAATTTGAATCTTAAAACTAAAAAAGAAAAAAGTTTACGTAAAGAAATAAAATGGCAGTGAAAATATTACTACAACATTTAGATATAATGTGTTCAAACAATTAAGAAAATATTTTTCTATGATTAATATCTGAATTGAGTGCAGTTAGTTTAAGTACGAAAGCATAGCATAATATTTTGAAAATGCGGTCCAATTTACAACATATAATGATAAGAATTATTTAAATTTAAGATGCTATTTTTTTATTTCATAATTTTTTTATTTTTGAAAATGTCACGTAAAGAAATAAAACAGTAAAAATATTACTACAATATTTAGATATAATGTGTTCAAACAATTAAGAAATATTTTTCTATGATTAAATTAAAATTCTAAAAATATAAATTAATTTCTAATATAGGTAATTTTACTAATGATAATTAAAAATTAAATTTTTATTTTAAAGCTAAAAAGAAAAGAAAATTTAACTGCATCTAATATAAAAATAATTATAAGAGAACTCAATATATTTGGAACGTAATAATCAAATAACTTATGTATTAATATTTTAGACTAATTCAAAGCTAAAATTTAAAATAAAATATGATATTATTTTGGTTATAGGTAAAATATTAATATAAAACTATTTAAAATATAGTAGGGAAGAGATGTATAAAAAAATAAAGGTAGTGTGATTTATACTTTAAATTAATTGAAAAATAAATAAATTAAATAATTAAATTATATTTAAAAATATTACTGATAAATTTAAATGATTAAAAAATTCCAAATAAGAGGATACAAGTATAAAAATATACCAAATTTTAAGAATAAAATATTTATATTTATTAAAGACTATTAAAAAGATAATAAGCAAGATATGAATTAAATTATTATGCTAATAAAAAATTATATGACAGTATAATAATATTAAATAATAAATAATACAATAACTATAAGAAAAGAATAAAAATAAAAAAGAATTTGCATAAAATGATATGATGAATAAGGCATATTTGACTTTCAGTCAAAAATAAAGTGATAATAAGAATTTTCTTAAAATAATATGATATAATGTGCTCAAATAACACATATCACAACATGACATATTTAGTATTTTTTAATATTGACACCGAAACGAAATACAAGTACTAAAATCAAGGGATTAGATTGCTACAAATAAAATAAAAAGTTGTCTACTACGAGATTTGAATAATAATTTCATATCTTGCTTCAAAATTAATATCTAATGTTATATAATTTTTATATGAAAGGTTTATATTTTAAGGTTATTTGCACATAATTCAAACAACATAGATTACAATTTGACATAATTTGTGTCCGCACATCGCACGGGTACTAATACTAGTACTAGTATTATTAAAAGGAAGGAAGTTTGGCATAGGATTGTGACAAGTGGCGGAATAAGAAAATGGCACGTGTTAGTTTTTAGGACAAAAAGTAGTTGTTATGAGTAATAATTAGTTATTAGTTAAAGCTAATTTTTTAATTAAAATTAAAATTTAAAATAATAAAACAACTTTTTTATGTAACCATCGTAGGATAGGAAGAAAAATTTAACAGTTTGTAAGTAGTGGTGCCTTAACCGCTTGCAAAATAAAAATCACATTTCTTTGGCAAGTGATTCTACTGTTCCCAATAATAAAACTAAACAGTTAGTTTTTAATAATTAGTTTCTTGCGTATTGTGGCGGAGATATCGAAGAAGTGGTAAAAAGAAACTGTACAAAACCGGTGGAACCGTCAAGAAGTTTAAGGGAGAATCTATGGGAACATGGACTCAATATAGAATTTCAAAGTATAACGAAATTTGCTATTTGTGGAGCACTTCATTTCCTATCTAAATTCTCAAAGTAGTCTGCTTTACTTGCCAAATTTGAACTTCTTCGGTTGGTAATTTCTAAATTCAATTGAAGTGGACTATACACCTAAGATGTTTGATGATATGCAAAACTTGAACTTCTTCTGTTGTTAATTTTTTGGGTGTTAGTTTTTGATTGTTTTGAATAATTTCTTGATTGATCGTACCTAATTGCAAGGTATCAAAATTGTTGCTCTAAGATTAGGTCTCTTAATTTGTGCTTTATTATTATTTGTTCTTGTAAGAATAACTTTATTTATGGATCCAGTTCCAAAAGGACGAACAAGGAAAGATGAGGATGAAAGCAGAAGATGAACGGAGATGCACCTATTTTTTCAGTTAAGTTCTCTACTTTCTCTCCCTCTTTCTTTTAATCATGTATTTATTGAGTAGTTTTAATGATAATCATTGAAGTGGACTATGCACCCAAGTTGTTTGATAATATACCTGACTCATTCATCAAATAATATTTGAAGTACATAACGTAAAACATGTTTTAAATAGAGTTCTTCTCGCGAATGCATATCTTAAAACTAACCTTTAAGAACAATCATAGCTTTAAAATTGTATTTCGACTCACAGTGCAGTTCACTATGATTATTGCAAGTAATAATTCATTTCTTTGACACGTCTAGCTTTTCTCTTCCTTTTTGTAATATGACAAAATCTAATCAGCAATTAGGCCAAGCTAATCCATAATATTTCAAATTTGATTCTTCTTTAATATACAGTAAAAATTTAAAAAAAAATAGAAAAATGGACTTCGACGCTGCCACAACATATGCTTCTCTATGAAGAAGTAAACTAAAGGTACCTGCCTTTTCCCTTTTTTGTTAGTAATATTTTGGTAGATTACTAGCACTTTTTAATTGAAGACCTTTGTAGGTTTAATTTTAGTATCTTAGAGCTCAAGAATCCGGAACTACATTTAGTAAAGTGGATTTATACAAACGTTCTTTTTACTATTAGTTTTATACTAAATTGCAGCTAAGGTAAGGAACTTCGTGTCGCGGCTGCTCCATTCCGCTGCGCTGCGGTCTCATTAACTGAACTTCGTTGCCACTAAATTGCTTACAAAAACTTATTCTTAAAATCTTTGTTTCTTTTTCAAGGAGCACAAAGTTATTTGACCCTGCTGATATAGCATTCTGTTGGAGCAGCATGTGAACTTTTATGGCATTCTGATCATATTATAGTTCAGCTTTGGGGAGCTATATTTTTTTTTCTTTCTGAATGTTCACTAGGTTTATAAGTATCATCTTTTGAGTTACTTGTGGGAATTACTGAGGCTAACGATTGTAGCGAATATAAAATATCGACGCTACGAGTTTTGAATATGTTGGTCACCAAACTCAAACGTTATCAACAAGAAATCGAGAGAATGAGGAATGATGCGTTTCACTTTGGGCTTCATGGTGTTAAAAGCAATAGTGTTGGATCTCATCCTCTTGAAGGTAAGGCAAGAGGGATGAAGCCAAACCATAGGTGTTTGCAACTATTTTCCTTTTCGTTACCAAAAAATAATATCTTTCTCTTCATCTCCTCTTATCTCTTCATATTGAAATTATACAGTACTTTATTCAATGTTTTTCCTGCGACTTAGAATACATCACTCTTTGTTGCATTGTTGTGGCTAATTTTTGAAATTTTATATGCTTAATACAGGACTATTGCTTACAAAGATCAATTGAAAGAATATCACTATGCCCTGGTAAATATTTTATCCATTTTCTTTTCATTTGTACATTGAGTTCATACTTCAACAACGAACGACATTTGATTGAGTTCATACTTCAACAACGAACGACATTTGATCAGCCAGCAACTGAAGAGATGTAAGGTTGCTTATATATTAAAGATCAACCGGTAAAAAGTAAAGATCGACCATTGCATATTTTAAGATATAAATTTAAAAATAGTTTTGTAATCCAGACCCGTTCATGAATTATTCAGTCTTAGGTGTTTGTTTCACTTCATTGAATCATTAAATTGTCAGATACTTCATTCTATAGAATACTACAAATTACAAAGGTCTAGGAGACTAGTACCACTGTTGTTTGTTTGCATAAGTTTTAGTAGATTTTATACTTGATTATGGAAGCAAAATTTGATTGTTTTGCAATCTGCTAACTAGCCCGTGCTTCAGTAGTATCTTATTTCCTAGATTAAGAGGTAGTGTAATTCATTCAAAAAAACCCTGGGAGTTCAGAATTAGTTATCTACTTCTATTCCATGTTGCTAATCTACTTTATATCTCAATAATATGCAGAAAGTTGCGATTAGCAAGATGGATATGCAATCAACAAAATATTTGTTGCTGAATAGGTTTACATACATGTTCATCTTAAACTAAATTCATGACTCATAGTGATATACTATCTGTTCTTCCTTCATTATAACCTCTTTTGGCATCTGCTCTAAGCATATGTTAATAAATATCATCATGTATGGTTAAACTTACAGACGTCGGCAATCTTTTAACTTATTTGTAATGCAACTTTAAAAAATTGCTGAAATTGCCTTTTTTAATTAATTGATTAACTTCCTTTCAATATTTTGCATTTCTCAATATGCCAATCCATTCACTGGTCTGATCCATTTACCTAGCTAATGTGATGCTTTCCTTCTGAAAGTCAGGAATGGTGATTTAGTTGTTCCATACTTGAGATTTAGCCGAAGATGAGTTATTTTTCCTCTTATATAATAATACATAATATGAGATAATATTTCACATGTTGAAGCCGTTTCAGGTACGCTTGATAAGATATTATGCTGAAGGATCTTTGTTTTAAGTATACGAATACGCTGAAAATGTGAAATTCTTCTAAGATTCGTTGGTCGATTTTGCTGCATATTTTACTCCTAAAATGCAGAGAGACCTGCGAAGGCAGGTCCTGGTTAGTTGGTCCGAAAAGTCAGAATTATCGGTAGAAGATGATGTAGCTTGGATTGAAGGGTAACGTTATCTACCTTAGTTGCTTAGTTAATATTAACATAGGGAGTCATTTCTACTAGAAGTTGAACATTATCCACCACTATTCGATAATGGTGCATATAAAAGAAAGGTTATGGTTTCTTAGATTTGGATTCGTTTTGTTAATTGAACAGAAAGTGGTGGTTAGTCTCTGTTGGAGACCAAGGACAATCCAAAATCATTTTTTTGAAGCAGGGGATTAGAGGTTTTAACTAGACCTCTTATCCCTTTCATTTTCAAATACAATTCTTATTTCATGAAGCTATTTTATTTGTATTATTATTATTATTATTATTCCTTTTATGTTTTGCTTTAAGACTCCTTTTAATTATACTTACGGAAAATTTGGAAGGCTTCGACACTATAATTTTTTGCTGTGGTGCAGAAAGAGTTCAAAAATATAAAGTTAGAACTAGAGTAGGTTTCATATTCGGTCAGTTTCTTTTTATATGATATACTTCAGTTTAGTTGGATGTTAAGTTTTAATGATATTAACTGAAATTAAAAGAATCCTATTACTATTTTGACTTTGTGGAAATCGGTAAATATGGCTTCTATTTGTTTATGAAATTTCGTATGTATAGTACCAAACATATATAAAATTAAAAGCTTTTTCACATAATGTGAGATCATTAATTTTTATTAATGTCAATATCAGGGATATGATAAGAACTTTTTTGTTTTCATATAAAACAAGTAATTAAGATCGTGATATTGATATCAAGTGTCAATTAAAATTATCAGGATAAATTTCTATTGAAGTATATATGATTTTAAATATGTCGATGCGATATGACAACTTTTTTTTTTTTATATCAAACAAATAAGTTTCTACTTTCTTACTAAAATTTTTCATTGATATCGACCGCGCACGAATACTAGTATCTATATTATATTAAAAGGAGAGTAGTTTGCAATGTGGTTAAGCCAAATGGCTTATTGAGAATGACACTTGGCACTTTTAAGACAAAATCAAAATAGATTTTAGGACAAAATCTAATATAGATTGACAAGATTAGGATAAAAATAATATGAAATATGGTATATTTAGGAACATTATGCTTATTAGAAGAATACCAAATATGTAAATTGTTCAAGAAATTTTTATGTAGTAAATATTTTTATTTAAGGAAGATTCTTTCTTTAATTTTGGTCAAAGTGAAAAACGAAAGGATTGAATTTGGACTGATTTTCCTTCATGATACATTTCCAACTAAAATTTAGGTGATATTATTTTTTTAATTTAGGTACGTATTAACAAAATATTTAGTTTGACAAATATGATATGAAATGTCATAATTAATCTCTCTCTCACANTTTCCTTCATGATACATTTCCAACTAAAATTTAGGTGATATTATTTTTTTAATTTAGGTACGTATTAACAAAATATTTGGTTTGACAAATATGATATGAAATGTCATAATTAATCTCTCTCACACATACACCCTCTTTCTCTCTCTCTCTCTCTTTATATATATATATATATATATATTAAAGGAATAAAGTTTGCATTGTAATTAAGTCAAGGGGAAAACTACTATAAAGTCACTTGGCAATTTAGGATAATATTATAATAATATATAAATCTATATTATATTAAAAGGAGAGTAGTTTGCAATGTGGTTAAGCCAAATGGCTTATTGAGAAAATGCCACTTGGCACTTTTAAGACAAAATCAAAATAGATTTTAGGACAA